ACTCCACATCTGGTTCCCAGTCTCTGCAGTGTGCACAAGAGTCTTTGGCTTCTTTAGCAGAAACTTGGCCCTTGGTTCCCATCTGCCCTCAGCCCCTAACAAAAGCTATCTGGCCATGCAGTCCTATAGTAGTGTGTCGTAGAGGGGTCAGCTGCTCTAGGGGTATTGCTTCCAAGGTGTGCAAACTTATCTGACTAAAATCAAGGGTTGCTGACTACAGCTCTACAGATAAGGGCTCCAGGCCAGGGTCTCTCGCTTATCTTTTGGTAGAGGTGAACAAGGGACCATTTGCATTGTGTCTGCTGGTATCAGGGGTCTTTTACAGAGATGAGGACAAGCCACACTTGGCTTCCCAGTGACGCCTCTACATTGACCTCCTGGCCTGGCAGAGAGTGGGGCATGATAGGTTGAAGGCCTGACGCTGGCCTCCTGGTAATAAGTTCCCATTCCTAACTCACTCCTGCCTCTGGAGAGGTCCTGTGGGTTCTGGGGTTTGCCCCTTGGCCTCTGTCAGCATTGTGAATGGGACCCATTAAACCAGTGGACATCTTCTAGCATGTGGGTGTCATCCTCAATGTCTTCTTCAGCAAACTCCCCACTGGCTGTAGAATGAAGCCCTCTCTTCAGCCAGATGGCAGGTTCTTAGGTGTGTGATCCTCTTGCCTGGCCTGGTTCCCATCGTTGCTCTTCACAAATCCTTTTCCATCCTTCTTCACCTGACAGTGTGTCCAAGGTCCCTGCCTATCCCCACTTCCCTGCCTTTGGCACATGGCCCTCTCCCTGGCAGAGCTCCCATGATGCTCTTCTCAACTTTTGCGTGCATCAAGTCTCACCCTTACCTGTGCTACCACCATTCCCATCCTCTCTGCTGTAAGAAACACTTCCTGGCCCTGTGATTTCTGGGCAACTGTCTCTCCATCCAGTCCCATGAGTGTGCTTATACAGATCTCCATGACACTGGAGCTGTGCACAGTTCTTACCTGAGAGTTCTTTATTGTGCCCATGGGACTGCGAATGCTCTGAGAACCAGACTACTGCTTCACATACATAGATAACACTACACAGAAGACGATCAACAACCATGGGACTTGATGACCACACAGTTGTCTCCTGGTTGAATCTAGAATGTAGCTTCTTGCATAGGACATGAATTTTGATGTCAGCCTTTTGATGTTATAGTTCAAATGTTAATTATGCCAACAACTAGCTCTGTGACCACAAGCAAAGTATTTAATCTCACTGGGCTTGCTTCTTCATCTGTAAAACACCAATTGATGGTGGAGGGACCATGGATATAAGTAGAGTAATGCATGGGGCATACTTGGTTAGTGCAGTGCCTAGCATTGAATTAGGACTCAAAACTACAGCCATTGTTAGTACCTGACTCCTTTTGGAGTTGGTCCCTCTTCTGCACTGAGCATTAATCAACAGCCAATTAATAGACACTGGTTTTAGGGGAAGCATCTGTGAGACTGTTGAAATGTTTTGGAAATTCAACATGGAAAGAAGTCAGAGTGAGCTGCAGTCCATTTTTCCCAGATTCTCAACAGCAGCAGGTGGACTTGTCAGCTGGCTCTCCACACAGTGCAGAGCCCTTCCCAGGTGGGAAACCAGCACTTGTCTTCTGACCTTGAACGTAACAAACAGCCCCTGAGAAAGGTAGTTCCAATTACAGTCAGAGTTGGAGGAACTCTTTCAGGGCAGAATGATTTATTGACCAGAAATACAGCACAACAGTTCAACAGACTTCTGTCTTTGGCAAACAGCCCTGCCTACTTACTTCTCTCTTGCTCTGGTGTATTGATCTGTGTGGGTGAGTTGGTGCTGTATATTGTAGAAGTGTGTGTGTGTGTGTGTGTGTCTGTGTGTGTGTGTTGAGGTCTGTCAATGGAAGGGAATCTTGCTCTTTTTGTCTTTGCATCAGATGGCTTTAATTTCACTCTCTTGCTTTACTTAGGTCAAGAATATTTCAAAATATCTCTCATTCTATCTGATCCTTATGTTTCTGACACGTATGTTTGTAAGAAAACTAGTCTTTATAGTGTGCTTTGTGTCAGGCAAAATATGTCCACCTTCCCCCCCACTGGACACAAAAGTAACCAAGACCTGGCAGAGTGAAGGAACTTGCCCAACATCAAATGGTGGTTAAACTATGATCCACATCTAGGTGGTCCCAGTGATGGTTCACCCTGGGCTTTGCCTTTCTGGGGAACAGTTGGCCATCTGCCATAGGAACAAAGTCCAGATCACAGGGCCATTGGAAACATAAATGCTTTGGAAGGTAGGGGCACAATTTCAATTCATATCAGAATAGTGTATTCCCATCAGGTGCATAGTGTGAGGCCTTCTCCCTGGTATTAGTTATTTATTGCTGTGTAACAGATCACTACAAACTTAACAGCTTCAAGCAACATATATGTATTATGTGTGTCATGTCATGGTTCCTCTAGGTCAGGAATCCAGGCACTGCTTAGCTAACCCCTCCACTTAGTCTTGTAAGCCTATAACCAAGAAGTTGACTACATTCTTGGCTGGAAGCTTGACTGGGATTGCTTCCACATCCCTGCTTACATGGTGTTGATAGCACCCAGTTCTCCAGCTGCAGCACTGCATGCTTCAGTCATTTGAGGACTGCTGAAGTTACATGCTACTTGGGGTTCCTCAGTGTGGAACAGAGGGCCAGGATGAGAATCTTGCAAGGTGGGTGCTATCATCTCATGTGATATATCCTGTTTATATCCTGTCATCTTTGTCATTATTTGTAAGAAGCAAGTCGAAGGTCTCACTCACACTGGGATGGAGAAGTTTGCACAAAAGCCAGGACTCCAGCAAGCAGGGATCATGGATGGGGGGCACTAAGGGATTGCTCACTGTGTCCTGTGTCTTTGTCTTTCTTTTTTACTCTTCTTCTTCATTTCTCTGTACTAGTCTAGATTCAGACACAAGACTTTGCCAGTGCATGAGAATTGTATAATAATGATGCTAATAAACAATATCATTATATTCCAGGCACCTTGTTAATTTTTATATACTGTCTGTACAGAGAGCAACATCCCAAGTGTAGAGCCCAGTTTTTCAGAAAGTGAACACAGGAGTGTAACCATCACATGGATAGAACTGAGGGTATTACCAGTGCCCCAAAGCCCTCCTCAGCCTCCCTTCTAGACTTTAACACTCTCAGAGGTGAATTTCTAAAAGGATAGACTACTTTAGCCTGTTTTGGTCCATTTTATAAATAGAGTCCTGCAGCATGAAATATTTTGTTTGAACATAGTACTGTTCCATGGTCCTCGGGTGTCCATTCCTACTGCCCAATGCTGTATGCACTGCAGTGTACTAGTCCATTCTACCACTGATGAGCTTTGAGTAATTTCCAGTTTGGAGGTGACACTGCCGCTAAAAGCAGACTGGTACAGGTTGAGGATCCTTCATCTGAAAATCTGAAATCCAAAACTTCCTGAGTTCTGACACTTAAAATATTTCAGATTCTGGAAAGTTTCATATTTTAGATTTTTTAGATTAAGTATGCTCAACCACCAAAGCCTATGCATGTATCTCCAAATATAAAAAACTCTGAAATCTGTGTATTTCCCATGAGGGATACTCAACCTGTGTGTCTTTTGTTGAGCACAGTAAACAGACCTGTTGGCTGATTCATATAGTCATATGGTCTACATATTTTGGTAAATTACATTTAATATATAACCTCTTTAAGGAAGGCAGCATCATCCCCTCTATACACAACCGTGTTTGTGCCTCTTAGGTTTCTCTGTAGGTCCTAACAGATTGAATAGGAGGAAAGGCCAAGTGGTGCACGAACAAAGTAGAGTTCTGGGTCAAATACATTATTACTGTTACAGATTCCTTTATTACTTTTTCTTAAGGGAAGCACTGTTTTATAAGATTTCTGCATACTAAGCAAATGTCCTTTTCTCAGTATCTTTTAATTTATCTTCCCATTCTCTTATTAATCAAAGATACATCTAACCAGCTGCAGAACTGCTGACCCAACAACTTGCATTAGAGAGCTGACAAAATTCAGATAAAGCCAGAGGAAGTCCAGGTGTGGGCTGACCTCTGCAGCCTCCTTCCAAGAACAAGGATTTCTGCTGGGCTGTTGAAACACTGAGACCATCTTAGCGCCCCCTGTATGATGTCATGGAAACTTTAGGTGATTAAGGACCTCACACCTCCACAGAGGTTTCTAAAACCCATAACCATATCTGAAATCCTCTGATTTATGACCAACAGATACATCGAGGAACAAGTCATTCCCAAATCATTTGGAATAGGCCGCCTAGGTAGTGATTTTAAAGTTTCAAAACTACATCTATTTACTTTATATTTCTTTTTAAGATGTGTCTAAGATGGGTTACATGAGGATAGTGGGATCAAACTGTCACTAAGTTGCCCAGACTTCAGGCTACTCCTGACACTGTTTCTGTTCCTCTCCATCTTTGTCTTTCTTTCTCTCTGATTCTGTCTCTCTCTGTATATGTATGATATGTATATGTACACGCGTATGTATCACATATATGATATCTATTTCTACCATCTGTCAATTAACAAAATTGGGATTCTACTGCATCTCAGTTTTTGTTAGCACTTTCCTATGTGATTAAAAAGTATTTTAAAAATATAAATATTAAATCACTATTTGGTATTCCATCAATGTGGTTATTAGAATTAAACAAATTCTCTATTTTGGGATGTTTAGGCTGTTTCCAATATTTTGGCATTACAAATAACACTGCATGAATATGCCTGTATCTAAATCACTGGAGACAACACTGATATTTTCTTTATGAAAGATGTGGGATAACAACAAAACACATGGATATTGGCTTTTGACTCCATTATGAAATACAGATGTATGCCACTGATAACAGAACATAAGAATGTCTTTTTGGCCTGTGCTGGTAATTTTCTGTTATGCATAAATTTTCTAAATTGTGTAGGTAAAATGTGATCGTTTGGTGTTAACTGCATTTAATTGATTCCTCATGAGGTTAATTTTTTTTTTTTTTGGTTTCTGTCTGTCTCTCTCTCCTGCATTTAGCATTTCTTCCTGTAACTTCCTGCGTCCTCACACCCCCACCAAATGCCCTCCTGTGCCTTGCTTGTCTCCACTCCTGCATTCCAGCCTTTACTGTGGGTGTGACATCAATGTCCAACAGAAGAATTCAGTGCTTGTCAACTCCTCTGCAAACTGCAAGGCCTGAAGCTGGTCAGCCGCCTCTGTCATTTTTCCAACTAGGATGGCAGAATCCCTCCCAGAGCTGTAAACCTCAGGTGTGACTGAGCCTCTGGTCTCCATCTCCCAGGGCCATCAGTGCAGAAGTGCTGGCTGTAGGATGTAATGACTTAGCCAGGTGAGCTTCCTGCCATGTCAGCTTCTCACAGGATCTTGCCTCAGAGGAAGTGTTCCCTCCTGCTTTCGGGAAACAGGCAACTGTAAATCAGGTAAAGATGTGACTTATTTATCCTTGTAAGAGTTTTATGTGCTGGAATTATCGAGGGACCCATTTGCCTGATTCATGACCAATTTGTGGAGTCATCACTTAGAGAAAGACTAACTCACCCTGCTCAGCGGGCTGGCATGAACAGGGGTTGTGAGGCCGAGGCACCCCATGGTGGGAGGCCTGATTTTGCCCCTCCATCTGCACTGACCGTTACCTTTCAGAGAGTTCAGACACATGATGGGAAATCACAGAACAGTAGGAAACTCTTCCTCCTGGTGCTGTAACAGCTCTTCCCCTCCCCAGGCCACATCCCAGTTCCTCTTCTGTAGGAAGGAATGTTTGCTAGGACCACAGCTGCACTCTTGTGATCCAAGACCTGGAAGGAAGGCATTGAAGAAGGAGTTTTGACTGGACAAGGGTGAACTGCATAATGTTCATAATAAATTATAGCTGCTCCTTACAAGAGAATATTAGGCAGATTTAAAAAATAATGTTTTGAAATAATATTTATGACATTGAAAAGTGCTTATGACATGAAGATGAAAGAACAGATGTAAAACCTATACATAGAATACAGAATATGATCTTGATGATGTGAAAAATTAATTGAAAATACTGTAAAATGGTAACCATGATTATCTCTGAGATTATGTGTGAATTTTATGTTTCT